ACTGCGCGTGCCTCGGAAGGTGGTGTAACAGCTCACGGAGAAGGCGGATCAATGGTCTTCTTCTCGGATTTCCATTTGAGGAGGACGTGTGCGGGAGTGTGGATGTTCGGGAAAGAAGAAGGGTTGTGGAATGAGAGGAAGAGAGAAGGTCCAGCTCAAAAAGGAACTGCACCTCTAGTTCACCTCAATGTAGACAAGCATGAGGCCCAACAAGAAGTTTGGACCTTTCTCTTTGTCTTTATGGGCATGTTCTACCCCCTTCCCAGATTCTTGAAAAGCTAGACCATTAACTCCCATATTGTTGATATCAAACCAATCTTTTTGTTTGTACATCAATCAAGTACTGCTGAAAACGGCACAAACGTGATTTTGTGTTGGACAAATTAACGTCCCGTCGGTTTTTTTTCCACCTTTATAAGTGTAAATGACTACAAAAAGAAGTCATTTCAATAATGGCTAAACCACGGCCGCAACGGGTATGTGTCAAAACAACGCATTCCTCGTGACATCGCTGGGTTTAGACTGGATCATGGTCTGATCGGTAGATGAAAGAAGCATTTGAAGGCATGTTAGGTCACATTGCGCACACAATAAGGTACATCTTCCATATATAATTAACTCAAAACTACTGTATTTATATTTTGTCCTCTACATGATATTGAACTAGAAAAAGATGCATAAGAATAACCATGTCTACCATAATCACCCAAGACAACACTTGTCATGGCAGTATACATTTAACTCCTCACTCTCAGCATATACCGGATACCTCAGTACTGATACCTCATCCCTTTATAATCCTCTATTATGTATCATATTGTCACGAACATATAACCTCCGAACCTCCCTAGTAGTCTTCATTTTCTGTGGTTCCTGGGTGCCGACTGATCGTGATTCTCGATCCCCTCCGTTTTGGACTCGGATTTCGACTCGTGCAGCTGCTGCTCCGCTGGGAGCGTGCCACGTAGGCCGCAGTTCGTCGGCCTTTTCGTGTGGCACCGTTCGGGTGAGGTGAAGTTTGTCTGACTGGTGCTTACTTAGTAGGGAATGAGGGAAGTTTCGCCCCCAATAGAGATTCCTTTGGATCCAGCCACCCTCATTCCCTACTTTCGTCGCACCAGTCAGTTGTTGGATGCACCGTTCGGTGAAGTTGGACCGGTCCTCGACGTCCGACACACTTGGGAAGCACCGGTTCGGCGTGCAGGTGCTGTCGGTGGCGAAACACGGGGTCGGTGGGCGAAATCGGGAAGAAGAGTTCCACATCGGAAAAAGCTCCGTACTCCGTACTCCCAGGTCTGACCCAGGTCCCTCTGTACTGCTGAAAACCTCACTGAGTAGTGATTGAAAATCACCAACACCAGTAAAATCAGGTCAAACTAACTGACCTGTAGAAATCCCTCAGAGAAGTGACACTTCCCCTGTCTCCCCCCCAACCTGCGAAACTCTGCACACCACACACATCCTGCCGCAGCCTACACGTGTCGAAGCATCCTCTCCTTCGTCGTTCCGGAGCCAGACCCGGCCGACGGGCCGTGCCCATCGGTGATGCCATTCCTTATGGCCTGCAACCGCGCGCGACCACGCGTGGCCGAAGGCGACGACGCGACACGCGGCTCGCGCACGGGGAGGACCGGGCACGAGACGCCTCCAGCGGATCAAAGAAAACGCTTCAAAGGATGCGACGGTTGGGCTCCGACTGGCCAAGGTGAAGTGGAGTAAGATGGCGATGTCCACCGAGTCCATGGTTGGGGTTCCAGACTGATGAAAGTGATCAAAACGGGCTTCCAATGCGCATGACCACACCCGGATCGGTTCATCCAGGAGATGTGCACGAAATGCTTGATTGATCTGGATTGTGAAAGATACAAGCTTAAGACAATCACAGAGAGCAAAACAGTATCCCGGCAAAAGACCCCAAACAGTGTTGAGATGAGCATAACGATCATTGTAGGAAGATCTCTTGTGAACACTTGTAGAAAACCGTGTGCAAGAACACTGTAGCAAGATCTTTTGAGAGCACTTGGCGCCCTGCATCTCAGAGCACTTGTAGAAGATAGATGTGGCAAAAAACTATGTGCAAGATCACTCTAGCAAAGTCTCTTGAGGGGATTTGTAGGAGATCACTATAGCAAAATCTCTTAGAGAGCGCGATGCACTTGTAGATGATCTCGATCGTACGTAATTACCATGCGCAAAGTAGAGTCAGAGAGCACGATGGCACAGCAATTGCCACGTAAAGTAACAGAGAACACCATTGCACGCCAATGGCCATGACATCTGCACAGGCATTTCGATCCGGCACCCGCCTGTGCTCCACACGGTGAGATCGGGGAAGGATCTGAAATTCGGAACATGAAATAAAGGATTCATGTGATGTTTCACCGCTTCATAGCATTGTTCAGTGTTTCTTAACCTTCAAAGGTAAACACAACAGTGAAACTGTGCTTTGGGACCTGGCGATAGATAGTTGTATTCCACTTGCTAGTGGATGTCACTTAGCTGTTGGCATTGAACATGCAGCTCGAAGAACCCCGAAGCCACTCAGGAAGAACACCAGCAATTGAAGAGGGACACAAATGGAGAAACTCATAGAAACTCCATCAAACTATAGTTGCTGAAGAGGTTCCATTTTTTGACAACAACGTTTGAATCAAGAACAATCCTAAAAAGTTCACGTATTTCAAGAGTCCTGAGCAAAATCCAAGACCCCCTCGCCTGGTGAGTGACTTCACCAATGGAATCAAAACCCCAAGACCTTGCGATCTGATCACCCTTCTCTTCCAATAAAGTCGTCTCTTTCCTTGACAAGACGACACCGCAACAGAAGGTTCGCACCACAAACTTCAGCACCAAAATGACCCAAAAGGGTTGCCACACCTTGCCCTAGCCTCAACCCTAGCCTTCCAAGACGGCCATTGAAAAAAATGGCTCACTAAGACCCATGGCTTTTCAGTGAGAACCATTCAATCAATGGCTCCGTTGGACTCCTGGGGGCCTTCGCACATGGCCGTGTGCCGTGTGCGCCGCGAGACGCGAGAAGAGAGAAGAGTGAGACGCGGGCGCGCCTCCGCTGGGCCATCGGTAGTCATCTTGCCAGAGCTCGTTCTTTGGCCATGGCACGTGATAACTCATCGGACACGTCCGAACGCGAGATCGCGTGAAGGAACACGCCCCGCGAGCCCCCCCACCTGACTAAACACGGCTGAGAAAGTCTAGACCTTCGTGGCCACGAAGAGGGGACACAAGAGGCTGGTGAACTGGGCTTCATGAAGAGCTGAGAACAATGAAGTGAAAAGAGGTGCTTTAAAAATGGATGTGAAGTTCATAAGGACCTGGTCTGAGTCACTGATGCTGCTATGCATATTTGGGCCTGCACTGTCTCTGGTCAGAGCTGGTCGGAGCAGGAAAGCTCCGGTGGTGTTGGCTCCGGGGTATCCATCTGATGCACGGGAGCTGCACAAGGTGCTCGACAAATAGAACAAAGACCGTTTGCTACAGCGTGTTTGTTTTCCGTTCTCCACTGTAACCATGCTTCTGAAGAAGTACATGTTCAGTCCACAGCTTTGCCCCCAAAAGGCCCAAACTGCCAGGCATATACATAAGTTTTTTAGGTTCAAGCCACTTCTGGATAAGAATGCAACTTTGGAACAAATAGTTATCAGAAAGAGATGTTCTTCTTACCTTGCTCTGTATGCATTTCTCTAACCTTTTTGCTCGGACAGCGCCCGCTGAGCCAAAGGCAGCATGACGACGGCGAGAGAGCATTGGCATAGTGCTGGATGCTGCTGTGACCAAAACGGTTCAAAACAAAAACGTAACACCAAAAAGCACCTGAAAAAAAGTAGCACCAAAAAAACCACGGGAAAAAGACATGGTTCCACAAAAGTTGGTTTTTTTCAGCTGAGGTGAGTATTTATAGTATTTGATTGGCCAGACACCTGTTTTTGTCGGGTTTCTTCAACTTCAGGTCCATCACAAATCAAACACCGTGTGATTTGGGTGGTTTTCGCAGGAAGATCACCACATCAGCATCGACACCGGTGTTCATCGGGGAAAACACCCCATGTGCGCGGTCATCGACCCCTTTCGATCCACCCCTTTTGATGGGCCTACAATGAGTCGTGTGGCCTCCGGCCAGGGCTGTAGACGACCGATGTGGAGCCACACGAACATGACACATATGAGAGTTGATTACGAACTGTTGGCTGTAGACTGGCTGCTTTTGCCAAGATTTGATCAATTCAGCTGGATGTTGCACCACGTGATATCGATGTTTCCTAATGAGTGAGCAATAGAATGTCCAATCTCACCAACACCACAGGTTGCTGATTGATTGACGCCCCAACCAGAGGAGGGACTCTAGAAAGGCGCGTGTTGCCCCTCGAAGACAGGCTCGAGCCGTTTTGCCCAGCCCGTTGGCTTTGGACTCATCAGTGGCATTTCACCCACTACCAAGGGCCCCACAAACCATCAAAAACCTGGTTTTCCCTAGCAAAAAAACTGGTTTTGGTACGTGAAAGCCTCTATTTTTTTTCATGGTTTCGAGGGCCCCTGGTAGGACCTGGTGAAACCTCCACTCTGAGCAGGTGAAGAGGTGTCTGTAACGACGGACTCGTCCGTCTTCTTCGCAGGAGGACGACTGGCTTCATCCTTCGTGAGGGAGGGAGGGGTAGTGTTTCTACTGCACGGGAGATGCAACGGGCTTCTCAAAAGAACTCACGACAAGCCACGAAACCTCGATCGGAGAACCGACAAAAACCACGAAGCCTCGTCGCTCGTCACCAGGCCCCAAAACCCCCTCGCTGACGCTTCGCCCCGATCGTGTCACCCGGAGAAGGCCCTTCCACCACATCTGTGCTGGGTAAACAAATCTCCATCGAGGGCTCCACCCCGGAGGGGTGAATGGGTCGGGCCTTCAAGGGCTGAACCTCGGGTGACTGACCAGGGGAGCGAATTCTTCGTCTTCGTTCGGCAGATGCCTCCCCCCTGAGCCTCCGCACTTAAGCCAAAGTACTGCTCAAAGACCGGATGCCTGCACTTAAGCCATGAGGAGGTAACGAACGGAAAAACGCTCAGGGCCAGGAGATGGGATTCACTGCCCGGCGGGATGTGTTGCACCCAGCAAGAGCAGCCCTGGGGTGAAAAAACCGCAGCCCTTCGTGTTGCACGGAGACACCCACCGCGAGACACGACACGAGACACCCTCTGAGATTGCTACTGAGGAGAGAAGCACCTGCCGATCCCCAAAACCACGACCAATCTCGAGCTTGTCCAGATCGCGCGCAGGATGAGACGTGGCCATCAGCAGTGGATTGGGGCGCACTGCTCCAAAACCACTGCCATTTGAGTGCGTGCGGGAAAAGACAAAGGGAGACCCCCCCCAGTTCAACACCTGGAAGACAGAAAACAGACCAGTCAACCCATTGGAGAACATGCACACCCCAAATTCTAGGGTCTAAGTCCCAAGACGATACTTTTTCCATTTGACGTTTAGTAAAGGAAACTCCCGGTCCTCAGGTACCCGTTCGTCAGACCATTCGAGAATAACAGTCTTTCACTCCTCGGGACGAGGATTGGGACTCCGTTCACCTGGCCTCGGTCGCTCGGTCCCTGGGTCATGGCAGCATGCCATCCGCTTGGAGAACGGTCGCAGCTACATGGGGATGACACTTGGTGAAAGGCAAACACTGCCTACTGGAGAGTCCATACACAGCCAGCCGACTCAAAAACAACTGTCCGTACCAGCCAGCGACTCAAAAACAACTCCACTGCTGGTTTTTCCCGAGCGCAGAGAACAAAAATAGAGAGAAAGGTGCAAACCCCATCGCTGTCCGCCCGGCCAGTCGCAACGGCGTGGTGGACCAGCTGCCTCCACCAGACACCTCGGAGGGGTGGACGTCGCTGGCCCAGAGGTCTCTCGACACGTCGCTGGCCCGAGAAGGGGAGCTTTCCGTTCATCATCGAGTTCTGCGTTCCGTTTGTTCGGTGTCAATTCCGTTCCAAGTAAAAAAAAGAAAACAGTGTTTTAGATCTGAAGTCTAAATGACAGTACCTGATTCAAATCCCTTCTCCTATTGATGAGTCGTCGACTTGATTCACTCCCCCCTACCCCTAAGAGTAGTTGGCCGGTAGCTGGCGGTCGTTCGTCTCACGGCTTGTCTCCACCGCCTGTCGGGAGTCCCGGCGTGTAGAAGCTTGAGAGCTGATCTGGCGACCAAAAGGCCTCCCGGCGCTGGGAAGAAGTCCCTGTCCCGCCTGTCCCTGTCCAGGTCCCATCAAAGCTCAAGGCTAAGGGCGGCATAGGCGGCAAAAACCACGCGGCTAGTCGCAGAGTGTGATGTGCTCATTAGTGACGGTGGAGTCGCTGCGTGACTGTGAACAGATTCAATCTAGAACCTTTCCTTCCAAGAGGCCTCTGAGCATCCCCAGTGCTCCTACTATCGTGAAAAGATGTGAAAAGCATAAATGGTGGTGGCTGTCTTGTTTCCTTTTGTCCGGCCAAGGTAACAAAGTATAGTGACTGCAAAACCAAGAGATGTCAATGACTTCTGAATCATTTGTTGAACCCTTTTTCAAGAACGAGTATTCGACATCGTGAAACAAGTCATTTCTGATTTTTTAAAGCTTAAAGTACCCCGATACCAATGTCTCTTCCGACCAAAACTCATGTCTCGACCCTGATTATATATCCTAAACCCGTTGGCCCGTTCCAGGTTTCTTGGAAAGGGCACTCTCCCATCCGGGCATCATCCTCTCCCATGCGACATGCTACTACAATGCTGTACATACATCCCAGACACTCCATGTATGCCATATATGCCTACATTGACCCCCAAAACCACCCCAATGTACGCATGCATATATATATATATATATATACTGTATATATATATACTGTATATATATATATATATACGGCAGGAGTATCTGGACATGTACTACCACCTTTCTTCCGTAAGTACGTCCAGCCCCTTTTAACCGGGGGCGTTTCACCCACCGTCATCTTTCGGCCGATCGGTCGGTCGGAGGACGGGGGCTTAGGTTCGACGCTTCGTGAAGGAGATCTGCGAAGGGTTCGACGGTTCAACTCACCCGGAAGAAGAAGAGCTTGAACACCCGCAATGGAGGTGTTTGACCCTGCTCCGGCCAAAAGAACTTGCTGATATCAAACCCATTGATACTAAGTGCTAAGTGCTGCTATACTTTCACAAAGACCCAAGCAAGGTCTACTGTTTTTACTCCTTCCTTCTTTCGCCCAATCCGGAAGAGGGGCAACCACGACGTGCTTGACAGCTTCAGCCCCCCCCTAAGCTCAACCAGTATAGAGCATACCATACTTTATACTATAACAGCTGATCTCGTGAAACCCACAGTGGATCCACCCCTTGCGTCCGGCTTCCCTTCCCACCACGCTCCTTGGGGGCTCGATCCCCCGGGGCGCTCAGGCGCACCTGCAGCGCGCCGACGATCGTTCGCGTCAATCGTGCGCGCTTGGGAAAAAGAGGATGGGTTCGTTCGCGTCACGTACTCAGATCATCGTACTCGGATTCTGCACGTTCGCGAAGGAGCGGAGCTAGCTGCGCTCGACCGCATTTGGTGAACAGTGGGGTGTCCCATGGTGTCCCAAAAAATGAGGTGACCTGCAGGTGGTCCACATACCTCCAGGGAGTCCGATGGTCGAGCTGCATCTCGCCCCTTCGACTGTCGAACCACATGACGAATTTTCGAGTTCCTCGGTGTCAGTGTGGCAGCAGGGCAAAAGCTGGACGGAAAACCAGTGATGTGCGACCAGGTTGGGGGGAAGGTGCGAGGTGTTCATGGCTTTGGTTCTGAAAGTCCTGCCTCAAATTCCTGGCACACCCCTTGTTTCGTGGTCTCAATCCCAACCACCATCGTCTTGAAAAGGATTTTCAACCTGAAGGCCACCAGGGGGGGGAAGGCCTTGGAAGTAGGATGGAAGGAAAGACCTTGGGATCCATGCCAAGTCGTCCGGCACGTCCCCCGGCAACGAACGGACGCCACCCAGAGTCCTCACAGGTCCTAGACCCTTCGAACAAAGCCATGCAGAACTTCTAGAAGGGTTCCTTGGGTGCTTGGTTTCTTGACCCCACTTGGTGACCCGATCTCCAAGCCCAAAAAGATCTCCAATCATCCTCACCAAATGGTCATTTTGGGCTGTTTCGGGCACCGTTGGGCTGTTTCGGGCACCGTTTGGCGCGCACGCATCTCCATCGGTGACGAGTGGTCTTCGGTGCATTTCGGGCACCCACCCGGCAGCGTTTGGCGCGCTCAGTAGACAGCTCACGGACGTTTGACCCTGTGAATGGTGGTATAGCGACAGATGAATGAGTAAGTATGATAAAATGACTAGCTTTATGAGCCAACGGTCGGACGTGGATGGCAGACGTGGGCGGCCCCCTTTCGTTCTGTTCAGACCTCTATAAACAGTGTGTTTTCTGTGTGTTCACTCCACTTCCATGTTCTTCGGAACTTAGAACTTCTCCCCCCGTGCCAAGCACGGAGCAGCCAGAACCCAGTGGCCACAGGGTGCAGGTGCCAGTGCTCAGCAAAAGAACGAACGATGGCAGTCTCCATGATTGCCCCAAAACCTTCCTGTCTGCATAACCCTGGGTGCTTGGATAGGACAAGAACCTGGAAGCAAATCAACATGATCGACATTGCTCTCAAATCCCATCCAGCAGACAAAACACAGCAAATCAACACCACGGTGAACACCGCTGTTTTCACGGCCGGCTCCAGAAACCGGACACCTGAAGCAAGAAGAACTTGGTGAACATCAGCACCAGGCGCGGCAACGACGTGGCGGTCTCCCGGTCTCCGTGGCGGTCGTGGAGTCCTCGCCTCAGCCTGCTTCGCCAGCACCATGGGACTCAGGGCCTGAGCCGCAGAGAGCTGCACTGACTCGACTGGTTGCTTCATACGGAACCAGAGGTGAGCCCAAAACTACTGGTTAGATCAACGAAAATGAGAAGGAATGTCAAAAAGAATAGAAGTCCCCATCAAGACTCATTGAACTCTGGGCTGCACTCCACTTACGAAACCCAACCTCACGTTGGCTCCATCACGTTTAAAAGGTTCTAAAGCCAAGAGTCTTCCCCACGAACCTGTCACCTCCTTCAACACAAAACGGAAGGTGAACACCAGGAAGGTAAAAAGAAGACTTAGGAGCCACTTCAGGCAGAGAGTAGGTTGGTGTTCACGCACTGTCATGGTTCAACATGAAGGAAGAGTCTCAAATTCTCAAATTCATCCAAGTTCCCAATAATTCATCCTCCAATTCTCAAATTCATCCAACTTCTAAATTCATCCAGGTTCCCCAGGAAACTCAAAGTACATCCTCCAATTCTTCTTTGGGATGCCCAAGTCAGTCTGGGCGTGACTTGGGTGAGGCAGGGCAGAAGCTTTGTTCGCTGCGAAGGCTACACATGTGACAGCTTCTCCACCAGAAGCGCTCTGAGCATTCGCGTTGGACTGGTCACTCCCAACCGTGAACACGACGCGAATGGTTTGCCCGCGGAGGTGTTTTGTTAGTTTTGTTTGGTCTCTTTTCAGGGCCAAGAAAAATCTGAAAGAAGCTATTTGATCCCAAGACCCCCCTCATGAATGAAGCTCTGAAGCTCAGCTTCTCAAGCTGAAGAGAACCTATTATATATGAGCAAGTGATGCATGTGTCATATTTCTTTCTTTCAACACCTATATAGAACCTGAATGACGTCTATTTTGGACCACAAACCACCCAAAATATGGTCTTTAATTCTCTTCACTTCACCTGTGTCGAGATCAGTGCCAAGTCTTTGGATTCCCTGTCCTCCCTTCACGATTCGTACGCCCTCTTTCTTGCCGGCAGTGCCAGAAGTCTTGTCGAAGCGGCACGAATTGTCCCACGCATCGGCTTGCTCTCGGTGGCTCTTCTGCAGGGGACATGAGCGCGACATGGGCCGACAGGCCCCAAATCAAGCGGTGCACATGTTCACAGACCCCAAGAAAGGAAGTTCGTACTGGACGTTCCATCACGCAAGCTTCTGTCAGAAAAGCTCTCACATGTCCTGCGATCATTCCACAGTGAAGATCGAGAGTCAGGGGTCTTTTTTACTTAAATAGAAGTAGCAGCGATCCTTGAAAGTCCCATCCTTGTCTTAAATAGAAGAATCCTGATGATCCTTGACTTTCTGGTGCTCTGAATATCTTGGAATCCTCATCTCTTGTCATGCTGATTCTATATCTGTCCAGGCCACATCATCCAGTGCCATCGACCCCGTGGGGGGGGGGCGACCCCTGGCGGGCGACCGACCGCCCAGAGGACTTGGTGAGCTGATCCGATGGCCCCCGATTCTCCGCGCCGGTGGGTGCGCTAAACCAATGTGCCGAAAGCAACAGCAAAAGCAAGACCCGGAAAAAAAAAAAAAAAAAAAAAAAACCCCCCCCCCCCAATCGTGAAATCCTGGTCTTCCTGAAGGAAGGAAATCCTGAAATCCTCCACAAGCGAACCAACAAAGCTCAGACACGACCAGGATATTTCATACAAGTGTTTTGGGTGATGCAGGATTTCAGCTGTCCCCGATGAGTAGTCACGGGTACTGTGGGGTCACTGGTCACTGCCGCACTGCAAGCTCTTGGCTTCGCAATGTTGATTGGTTGAGCTCCGGAGTTTGGGGCATGTTGAATGGAAGACTGAGGACTTCCCTTACAGGCAAGGCATTTGGATCCTAGTGTTGGAACATCTATAAATGTGGCCAAAGCAAACAAGTTTCACTGCCAAGAAAATACATGTTTAAAAGAAACGGTCAGAATTAGAATGCGAATGAAAGAAGCAACTTGCAACATTGTGTCCTGCAAAAACCTCTGTTCACAACCATCGACTTTCACTTGGGCCGGATCAGCTACTCAGTAGCCGTCATCTGCAGCTCCACGGGCATACACGCGCCGGTCATCCCGCCGGTCATCCCGCCGGTCATCCCGCCGGTCGTCCCGCCGGTCGTCCCGCCGGTCGTCCCGCCGGTCATCGCGCCGGTCATCCCGGCGGTCGTCCCGGCCGTCTAAGCGATCCTGCACCAGATGAGCAGCTGATCCGTCACGAACGGCACACACGATCGAGTCAGTGGAGGACATACAGCTCGTGGACACCAAATACAAGACCTTTGAGCGTTCTTTAACCCTAAATGCAGAGTCTCTCTCTTGATCCAGCAAGTGTCGGTCACTCATCCTTGTTTTGAGCAACATCATCATTGTGTGTGCATCCGGTGTCTATACAGTAGGTGCACGATTGGAGGATGAGTGAGGTTCCTGCTTCTGAGGAGTGCTTTGGCCTTTCCTGGCCCAGTGGATCTACTCTTTGTACTACCTTCCCAGGGCAGGAACTGGAGCAAAAGACTCGATACAAAGCTTTCAGACCGAACGACTACACACCTCCTTGCTTGGACACCATTCCTCAGTCCTCGCACCCCCCTCACCTGGCCCAACCCCAGCTGCTTCTCAGCTCGCATCCATCCTCCAGTTCAACTCCAAAAACAACTTCCCTCTCCATCAGCTCGGCTCACCTCGCTTTCCATCAGCGAAGCACCCCACCGAACGCCCCCGGCCTCCCGAGACCCGCGCGGCAGCCGCGGCGCTCTCCCCGGCGGCTTCGGCGGCGGCGGCCGCGAGTCCACAGAGTCAAACTCGCCTCGGCGACGGCAGCGGCGGCGCCGAACGAGTTCCATCGTCTTCGGACGGGGGGAGTGTTGGACGGGAAGAATTCAAGGCTCCAAAAGCCCAAAGGACCAAAGAACCAAACAAAAAGACGTCTCCTTTTTGTAGCCCGCTCGCTTCCCCCCCCTCCCTACTTAATTAAGTAGGCGCCTACTTGATTGGGTAAGCTAGTAGTACCTTACTTAAGCTACTAGCATGGACGCAGGATAGCTCACGCTTCTTCAAGGAAGCTCCGCCTGACGCTCGCACTATTCATTTGGTTCCTAGATTGTTCAGGAAACTTAAGTTCCCCCATCGTCCTTGGAGCTTCGGAAAGCTTCGGAGAGAGCTTCAGCCCGTCACCAAACGTGGCTGTTGGAAGCCATTGGCTCTTACTGCGCTGCAAACCCGTCCTTCTAAAAACCTCTGCCAAAAACAGCCCCCTGCTTCCTAGGGCTCAGTTCTTCTGATATTGTACCCCAGGATCATCCACAGCGTCAAACATCGACTACCCCTACCCATCCCCTACCCATCCCCTACCCATCCCCTTACCCATCCACTACCCATCCCCTACCCATCCCAACCTCCCAACAGCCTATGGGCCATCCCAAGGCTCGGCCCCCCAACGGCTCCTCTGCTTTCCTGAACACCCCCCCAGGTGCCCGCCCCACACCCTCGGTCCAGTGGCTACTGCGGGAGTCCTTGGCACGCCGGGCCTTCTTCTTGCGAGGTTCACCTGGATACCGGGGTGTCTCGACCCCGGGACAGGTGGGGGGTCTCCAAAGGAACCAGCATGTGTTGCCGGCCTCGTTCCGGTTCAACCGATACCCACATGACGAGTGCTTTGATGTGAACAGCACGACCGACAACGTCAACTCTAACGACCGAGGACCTGAAAAAGGAAGAAAAACAGCAATGACGACCACTGATGGTTCAGCACTCGGTCTGGAGGGTCTCGAGGTCTGGATATCAAAAGGTTCTTAGGGTCCCCAGCACTGACGCCGGAAAGGTCCCCAGCACTCGACTCCGACTCCGGCTCCCGAAACCGTATGACTCTACTCCACCGTCGGAGTAAGTCGTAGGAGTCATGACTTCCAGTCCAGCCGCCCGAAACAGAATGAGTCATGACATCGTCGTGAAAGCGAAATTGAAATCCACTCATGGGATCCCACACTTTTGGACCGCAGTCGATACACCACAGGCATGGTTCAGCCCATAGCTCTGGGCTGCTTCGGGTCCTGGAAGCCCGTCCCACGGCCACGCCTTCACGTTCGCGCGTCTCCTTCTTTTTCTCCTGGCAATGGCAGGAGAGGTTCCAGGACCACGTCTTTCAAGCCAACTGGAGAGAGGTCACAGGGCGGGGCCCAACACCTGATCGTGGTGTTTGCAAAAACTGCGAGACCTTCAATCGATCCAGAATCCAGGGGGTTGGATGAAGGCGTAAAGTGAGAAATCTCAAAAGACCCAGTGGGGCTGCCAGGTAGGCAGCTGCCTTAGTAGGCCCTTGCCTTTGGTATGTCTCAAACTCTGTGCGCTGAGTGATTTCAGAGTGACCGAACCAAAAAAGATCCTGTTAAACCTTTCCTTTCAACCAAGTCTTGCCTCACCCAAGTAAACCCACACCAAGTCTTGCCTCACCCGGGAAGACTGACATAGAACCTTTGCAAGACCATGTTCCTCTGCAAAACCGGGTGTGTGCTGTTCAGGTTCGGTCTCGTCTCTTCCAGCGCGTGATCCCTGGTCTCGCCTTGGGCGATTCGTAGATCTTTCCCGGGTCGAAAAGGCCAATGATCTGCTCCACTTGGGCAGTCAACTGGCGTCCACTTGGGCTCCCAGATCAGCCCATGTCAGCCGCGACGGACCCACCGCCCACGCCCAAGCGCCGCCCGGTCCACCCGTGTCCGACCCGGCTCCTTGGCGGTGGCCGAGGCGAACCTCCGCGGGAAGAGATGGCGGAGAGACGGTCGGGAGAGACACCCTGTGTGTCGAAGACGTCAAGAGCGCCCGGCGTGAACGGAACATGAGGTCGGACTGGGTGTAGTTTGGGGGTTCTGGTGACAGTTTGGGAAAATTTGGGAAAAGGCTGGAGTCGAGCAGAACTCCGATTTTCTGAATGAAGCCACTCTTGAGGCATGACCTTGTCACCGTTGGACCATGAAAGACCATGAAAGCCGCACCCAGTGACCTCCGTGCAAGACCAGATGAACCCA